GTGGTCTAAACTTTCATTTTATGGATCATTGACAATTTTTATATTGCATCAAGAATTTATGTGAATTTAGAATATATATGAGTAAAAGAGTGCGTATTCATCACACACATTTTAAAGTATCAGCATTGTTTAATGGGATCGTAGAATAATACCATTAAACAGTGTATATGTTGATTGGCTGAGGAATGAGGATACATATTTACTTTCTAACCATTTTGATTGAAAATCTAATTACAAATGAATTCCTTAATAATTATGCACACACACTATTGTCCTAGATTAGCGCACGTAATTGTCTCAAACGATCATATGGTTTAGGTGGCTTGCTAATCCACAAAACTGTCTAATGAACCACAAGATACCTGCAAGCTTGACCAAATGATGGTGCTCTGGGGCTTTGAGTCCCACATCGATGGGATGTTAATTAGATGGAAAGTCCACTTAATTTCCACCGGAGTTTTTGTATTTTGGCCAAGTGGGTCACCACCACTAATGCATGCTTCGATCTTATAGAAATATATACATCACACATCAAAATCATATGTAAATGTTCGATGCGGAGCTAAAGCTAGACACTGGGTTGTTCCTCCATGCAAAGGGTGGCGGAAGGTTCCCCACACTAATGCAGTAGCACTCTCATCATACTTTGTCCTGCAAGCTGTCTTTACCATCATGCCCTTTCCAGTTTCAAGCCAGACCTCTTTAGGTTGAAATACTCAATCATTCCCATTATTTATAGAAGTCTCTTGGGGCACAAGCAACCGACGATGGCGACCTCCAATGTGCTTTACCGTTCAATTTAGAATGGATGGATGTGGGGACTGAATATTTTTTTTTCCAACGAATAGTTCTTGGCTAAGATAGTGATGGATTTCAAAGGAATATTTACCTATTTCTTTATTTATTTTTATTATGTTGGAGATATTCGAATACTGATTTTTAAGTTATTCGTATTTATCGTCTTACACATCCTCATCATATACAAATTGCAGTGGCTTGTCATTCTTTAATCCATTTTTTTTTATTCCACATCAAAACTCCAAGAGCATATTTTACTTTGTTTTGACACAATAAATAGACATGAGATGATCATCTTAGGGTGATTCTTTTTGGATGGATGCTCCTTTTGCACTTGTAGGCTCTGAAGGATAAGAACTAACTAACTATGTAGCATTTACATTGAGAATTCATTTTTCTCATGTAATATTTGTACTTGGGATTAGTTACTGATGCTGGAAAAAAACAAAAGACATTACCACTAAGTTTAAGTCCTTAATAAGTGGGTACTACTCTAACACTACATAAGCAAAGATACGGCAGCAATTACAAGCATAATATGCACCTAAGATTCTACTAGTTAAGGCCAACATTTAAATTCCAATTAACAAACTATCCATTGCAGATTTTACTCTTAAAGAAATAGTAAGCCAATATACATCAAAATTTAATCACAAAACTGGAAAATTGTTTATTGATATTCAGCCTTTCTCAAAAGCAAATTGAAATGAAACTTGATGAAACTTGTAATGTTTGCAGTAAAAATTATTTCATAGCTTAAGCTTATTATAATTGAAGAAATTGAGGTTCCATAAAATTAAAGGAAAACTAACGAAAAGTCCAAAAAAAACTTTAGTTTTAATAAATAAAAAAATGACAAATAAAGGTGTAGTGAATAGTACCAGTGAAATGTAAAAATTTGGTTTTTCATTAAAAGTGAACAGTACCAAAATGTTTCGTTAAAAACTTCCTAAAATTAATTAAAAACATATAGAAAATAGCCAATTATTTATAAATAAATGCAATGTTCATTCTTTTCTTAACGTAAAATTTATACTCTCAACAACGATACAAAATAAGATATACTACAGTCTACATGTCTCAACAATTTCCACTCAAACTTGCTTTGAAAATTTAAATAGTATTCACTTTTAGAGTTTATGGTTTAAAACAAGAAATTTTGAGTCACTTGCTATTAGTGTTCTTAAAAAGGGTCTAGGCGTTGGGCGGAGGGAGGCCAAGGCGTCTTCTTGCAAAACGGTGGGAAAAAGCAAATGGGCTCTAGGCGGCCCTAGGCGAAGCTAGGCCCTTTTTTTTTTTTATGAAATTGAAATTGAAAAAAAAAAATTCCTATCTTTATTCTAACTTTCTAAGTTCGCGTTCCCTGCATGCACCTATGTTTATATCTTGAAATTTTGTTAATTTTATAGAATAGGTGTGTATCAACTTAAATTCCGGGATGTTAAAGACAATTACTATATTTCCTTATTTTCCTCCTATTTTGCATTTTATGTGGTTTTAAATTGTGAACTTGTTGTACATGTGTCATCCTACAATACTCCTCACTATGATTATATGACATATATGCTTAATATGTTTTTAAATTTTGGATTTGTTGGATACTCTTTTTGCATTTTATCGTTCTTTTATTATCTTATCATTAGATTTCATACAAATATATTTTTTTGTAAGTGTCAATATACACTTATTTACAAGAAATTTACTTAAATCCGTCTAGACACTAAACGCTAACCCGCCGTCCGACTAACGTTTAGCGAATTTTAGAACCTTGCTTGCTATAAAATAGAAGGGGTGTGATATCCACACACCCCTTTTTATTTCTCCCACACATTTTTTGTTTTCGGCCGTTTGGATCGAATGAATTGAAGAAGATTAACATACAGAAATTCATAAAAGATGTGTAAGAAGTAAAAAAAGATATGTGATAGTACATCCCAAATAGAAAATCGGGGTTTCCTTTTTTGTTGTGCGACAGAGATCTCTCTGTGGCAGACCAAAGATTTTCTTTTAGTCCGAAACCACAATACCCACCTTCACGCCCTCCCTACTGACAAAGAGTCTCAAGTTGATTGAAAGATAAACTTTAAAAGAGTATAAGTAAGTTGTACTGTTTTTTATATTGCTATTTGGCTTTTTATGGAATCTTAATTTTTTTTTTTATGATATCAGAGTAGGTTAATTCATGTGTAAAGTCCAACGGTTACACATTCTTCATGTCACTCAATTCATGCCACATGGTTGCTTTAAAAATTTGCCACACACATGAGGAGCGTGTGAGAATATGAAGATAAAAAAGTTTAACATCAATAAAAGAAGAAAACATCAATGAAAGGAGAAATCTAATAGACCACCAATACGAGACTCGTTTACTTTAACACTCATAACATTCTGTATTTGTAGAATAATCCCTCCCAATCCCATATGGATCTTTGCTTTCAGTCTTAATGCATTGATTATTATATGTTAATTCATCATGCGATTGCAAGCCCTAATACATCATTGTTTATGAAATAATTAATTAATAAATGTAGTGCTAATCAACTGTGCTAGTGGTGGTCCTTGCAGAGTAAGATTCATTGATGGAATTGGACTCACTGTCCTATAGAAAGTGGACGGTGTTGTTTCAAATGGAATCAAACCATGCCGGCTTTCTCTCCCTTCCTTTAGGCTCCAATCTATAATTCATTTGACATTGTTGTAAATCTGTGAAGAGACTTATCTACATCTAATACTCCATATGGCGTCACAAATTCAGCGGCCCAATAGTGCGATTAGATGGTGTGTCGTGTGATTCGTACAAAATATCACATATCGCAATAGTATATGTAGACAAGTAACTTATATCTTCGACGAGGTATTTAAGCTCATCGCACTTAAGCAATGATGAACAATACCATCATATTATTTTGTCATTAGATGTGTTTAAATTTTAAAATATATATTGTACGAATATTAAATCATACACTCGCTTACAATCAACACAATGGTCTCTAACAGCTATGCCTGCATTTGCAGACGACACATTCTCTTCCAATACTTATGCATTGATATGAATTATTAGTATTTTTTTACAAAAATTAAAGCAAGTAAGGAGAGCTTGTAGCTGTAGGAGGCAGGCTTTAACCTGCCAAGTGCAATGATAAATCATAAAGCAAAATTACCAAAAAAAAAAATCATAAAGCTATTTGGAAGTCTGTCTCAAGTGATTCATCCTTCATCAAAAACATTTGCAGTCAACCACCACATGCAACAAGACCTACCCATATGACTCTTGTTCGTCAACTTTTCTACACATTTAGCTAAAACCTTCCTCTGTGCTTGCATTACATCCAGCTTTCTGTTCAAGTACTGTCTTCTTGCTTTTCATCTTTTCCTTCAAGACCTTGAATTAAGTACAAGTCATCACTTTGACATCATTTTTCACACAACTTCAACATTTATTGATCACACTACTAATTGCCTATTTAGTAAGAGTTTCGTATACATAGATAGAATTCAACTTTGTTTATTACATCAATCGTCAACAACGTGATTAGTAAATATGGTATAGATAATTGATTAGATATTGACCACATAACCGGTATGAGTTATGCATACATGCATACACAAGTTGAACACATCATCTCTGTTATTTAGATATGTCTTCAACAATGTGTTCAGTAAATATAGTGACTAATCACATACTGACCATTTTTTCTATGACAAGAGTCCCACGTACAATTGGAATGCACTTGTCTAAATCCCACGTACAATTGGAATGCCCTTGTGTTATTAGGTTAATCTTCAACAACGTGGCCAACAAATATGATATAGATAGCGTTAATTTTGGAGTATGAGAGCAAACAATAAAGGCATAAAATACCAAAAACAAAAGCACAAATATTTAGCTCAATAGCTTTCGATGAATTTCAAGTTCAAAATACCACCACCTACCCAACTAATGGAATTGAACAAAAGGCTATATATGGTTATAGACCCAAATATTACCCTTTCATTTGACACTTAGAGATCCATATGGTATTAATCATACATACCTTAACCACCAAGTATAATTAACCAATTTAGTAAATAATTATAAGAACTGAAAATTAATGGGTGACACTTAAAGATCCATATGGTATTAATCTCCCTTTGGTATGCAAAAGTCAATATATGATTAATTTGCATGCTTTGTAGGGATACGCATGCCTTAAAAGTCTCTCTCAATTAGGAGAGCCATATGATCCGGGCAGATCAGGCCACTGCTTTGGGTTCAGAGATGGGCCGCCGCCGCTGCTGCTGGTAGTGGTGGTGGTGGTGGTGGTGGTGGTGGTGATGGGATTGTTATGGCCCATGGTCCACAAAGCGCTGTCCGAGGCTGCTGCTGCAGAAGAAGAAGAAGGATTCACAGATGATCTGTTGACGACGCTCTGGGGGGCCCACAGATCATGCTCAGATGGGTACAGAGCAGCTTGATCCAACAGACTGTTGCTCCTAGCGCCGCTCACCTGAAAAAACTGCTGACGCTGCTGCGGCTGCAACGCCACCATAGGAACTGAGAGATTGAACCCCTGCAGCAGGCTCATGTTCGAGGCAGGATCATGACCGCCCCCAACATTGAACGGCTGAGATTGACTCAGAGATTGAAGCCCTGCAAAAGATGACAAGTACCCATGAGAAGAACCAGGGTAGTACTGATGGTGAATAGCCAATCCACCGCTCGGGTTGGCCGTAGACATCCCCACGGACCCGCCGCCAATTCCCAAATTGTTCTGCATGTCCTGCTCTTTCTGTGATGGCTGCGGCTGCACGGTCCGAGATGCTGACGCCGAGGAGGAACCCCCCTTGGCGCGCTTCCCCTTCCGGCATCCGCCGCCGACGGGAACGTTCCTGAGGGTCCCTCCCTGAGTCCAGTACCTCCTACACGCCTTGCAAAAGTACCGTGGCTGAGAGAGACTGTAGTTGTTGTAGTAGCAGAACTTGGTGTTCATGGACTGGCACCGCGGGCACCCGTGCGGCTGCTGGTTCTGCTGCTCCGCCGCCTTCAACCGCTGATCCTGGTTCTGCTGCTCCTTCTGCTCACCCCCCTCCTGCTGCTGTTGCTGCATGTTGCTTTCTCTCTTGTGATGGTCTTAAATTGTTTGATGGATTGATGTGGGGCTTCAAGCGACATGCAGAGGTTTATAAAGAGGAGGAAATTGTATCATTGTGAGGGTGTGCTAAACGTGTCCGTAGCTAGTCCTAGATAATCTACTCTCGAGTCTCGACACCCAAAACTGCCAAAACTAACGGCGATCGTTATCGTTATCTTGCTCTCTCTCTGCATGCCGGGTGTTCCTTCCTTCTTGTTCCCACCCACCAACCAGGGTTACATCCAAACCCATCGGCCATTCACTTCATCATTCACATTGAATAATGAAACAATTAAAGCCCAAGTGATAATTGAAATTTGTGGAAAATCTGGTCTTGAAATCGAGCGATATCCGCGAGGATTTCTTTTTCACCTTCTAGAAACGGTGTCAGAGTTTGAGACGAATCGGTTTGACTTGCTGCTTCTTTTTTCTGGAATTTTGGACGGGTGGCGGATATGCAGAAAACCCAGAAAAAGGAGAGGGGGAGAGGAGAGGGAGGGAGAGGTTGTAGTAATCTGTGGGAGCTAGAGACAATACCGGAAACGATTTTCCGTCACATAACAGCATCTATCTCACCAACCCAGCTCAGAAAAAGTTAGAACTGATCAAAAATTCCCAGTCCATTTGCTTTTGATCCATCAAATACAGGAAACCCAGTACAGAAAAATTCAGCCTTTACCGGAAAACGGTCCAAAGTGTCGGCCTTTCCGTTCCGATATGCTAAAACTTTCAGACCCAATGATAAATATCACCACACAAAAAAAACCGCAGAAATATTATGAGAAGAAAAAGATGAGAGTTTTAGCTGTATTGGGTTTTTAGATATATGCAGGTGTAGGGGTAGGAGATGGACCACAGGAACAGGGGAATAAGAGAGACCAGAGCCTGCAGAGGCGGCAGGTAAGGGCGGAAGAGGGTGGCTACTGGCTAGTGGCGGTCGTCAATGGGTTTTTGGCTGCTGTGTCAGACACTCAGACTTCAGCAACTACTGTTTCTTCTCTCTCTCCTCTCTGTCTCTCTCTTCTGCCGATCTTACTGCAATCATACATTACTCTCGAGTCTTGTATACACAACAATTTTCCATTTCCTTATTTAAAATTTTATTTTGTGGTGTTTTTGTTGGAAGAGTACATATCCTCTTCAGATCAAAAAAAATGAAACTTAAAATATCAAATGATTCGGACCGTTAAAATTTAATTTAACGGTTACAAACAATAGATTATTATAAAAGTTATAATAATTGTAGCTGTTTGATCAAATTTCAATGGTTCGGATCATTTGATCTTTAAACTCTGTTTTTTAAAATCATGAGAGAATCTGTACTCTTGTTGGACAGATTTCTTCTCTTCTATGTTCTATATGACATCACCATGCTAATTAGGGACTAAAATTCTCTCATCTCTTCTTTCCGTCTCTTTCCACAGAGGGGAGAGAATCATTCTCCGCTAATTGGACGCCAATTCTATTCATAATGACAATCGTGTCCCCATTGATAAGAACATTTCCACGGTGACTCTCTCTCTCTCTCTCTCTCTCTCTCTCTCTCTCTCTCTCTCTCATATTTTCTTGTATAACACTCAAAGTGTTGGATTAGTCAAAGTCCATTGTCATTCTTCAACAAACTAACTTTGTCCAGAAGAATTCGAATTTGGTTGTAACCTATATTTTTTTTATACAAGTAATAGTCTATGTTAAATTTATCTAAAATACGAATTAAAAAAAATTAAATTTGAGTATAGAAGAACAAAAATACTGCTCTATTTCTCGTTTAAGAATAAAAATGTATGTTTGTGCTATTAAAAAAACAGATGGTTCAGAGCGCTAACGAGGCTCACAACAGAGAACGAAGGTTGACCACATTGTCATTGCTAGTCCACTTTCTGTAAAAATATCGTTTGGTCAAAAAGAAAAATACTAAGGCAAAGTTATAAAATATACATTTGAAAAGCAAAGAAAAAACGAAAAGATGAAAACATTAATGCCACTTCAAACATACCACCTCTGATTTACTAACTACAAGTCTTCAAGTACCAAACATTCAGCTTCAACTCCTTCCATGATATGCAATGCAACTACTGAGCAAAGTTTCCTTCTCGAAAACATCACTATTTCTTCACATCATCTTCAGGCCTCCGAATCCGCCTCCTAACATCCACAACATTCCCCTTCTCATCCAATATCTCCACCACCATCACATCCTCATCCAGAACGTCCACAACATTCTCCTCCGCGGCCACCTCATCGTCTTCAGGCTTCCTAATCCGCCTCGTAACATCCACAACGTTCCCCTCCTCATCCAATATTTCCACCACCTCCACACCGTCATCCAAAACCCCCACAACATTCTCCTCCACCGCCAGCTCATCGTCAGAGTCCGATGAAGTCCCAACCACTGTCTCCTTGATCTTATCCCCCGTCTCCTTCACGGCCCCCCACGCCCCCTTCACTGTGTTCTTCGCCGTCTCTGCTGCCTTGCTCGTCGCCTTCTTCACCTTCTCCGCCACCGTTTCTGCCACGTCCTCTGTTTTCTCCTTCATACTCCAAACATTCTCTTTCGCCTTCTCCTTGGCCTGCTCCGCCGTCTCCACGGCCTCATAAGTTCCCTCCTTTGCCTTCTCAGCCGCAGTGTCGGCCATTTCTTTGGTTTTCTCCTTTGTTTCATAACCGTACTGTTTTGCTTTCTCCTTGGCGCTCTCTGCCGTCTCCGCTGCTCTGTTCACTCCCTCTTTAGCCTTCTCCGCCATGGTCTCGGCTGCGCTCTTCGGCTTATCCTTGAGTTCATCTGCTGGATCCTTTCCTTTGTAATTCACGTTCTCATTCCTCCACTTCTTGTCATCATATGCCCAGTTGGCCCTCGAATCTCTATTCCCTTCTGGTGCATTTCGATCCTGAAGTTCAAGCGTATACCGGATCAAATTAAATTATGAATGCATCAAGAAAATTTTAGAGAGACGGACCAATTATCTACTACTAAGTGCACCGATGTTATCCCTAACTTGCACATACCTTGTGAAAACAGGGGTGGAACCATTCATTATATATTGTATTTTTATGTGATCAATTTTTCGATGTCGGATTCTTACATTCGTCGACAAGTGCTACTGTTAATCACGTACTTATATAACTAATTACCTCGGAGGATTTGGAGGCGGAGGCGAAGCAGACTCTCGAGACTTTGTGAGAGGAATTTCTGAGAGAGAGTGATGAAGGGGTTTGAGGGAAAGACTTGGAGAGGTTGAAGATGATATTTTGTGCCATGGAAATAACTACCATCTTTGCTGTTCTGATTGCTCTCTGTTTGCTCTCTTTCTGTTCTTTCTTTCTTTCTGTTTCCCTGTTAAATTTTGTTTTCCGTCGTGGTATTATATCCGGCCACCGCTTTCTGGGGTTGCTTCTTGTTTGGGGAGATAAGATGGCAGCCCTGTTGCTCGACGCGTGTATTGGTCAATGGGTGGGGGCTCTGCATACTTCCACATGTTCTATGATTCACAAGTCAGATATTACTACAGTATTCTCTTAGGTATTGGCAAGATGGAAAAGCAGCCATCTAGTTTAATTCTAAAAACATTCCTACTCCAGTGAAATTGATATTGAAATTATTTTATGCTTTTTGTCACTCAGTTTTGTGGTGGTATTTATTCAAGGTGTTACATACGAAATTTGTAGACTGGAAATTAAATACTTGTGTATTATAGCTTGTCATTTCTTTTTAACTAATGATAATTTTGTTAATTAAATGTTAGATTAGTCACCGACATGATTCGAACCTATACTATTATGTAAGCGCTCAACATTTTTCTATTACTGTAGTAAAAAGTATTTGCATATAACTTGTCATCGGATAACTTAGTCTGATTTTATTTTTTTTAAATAAATAAAATCAACACATTCGAAAAAAGAAAGTGATGATTACAATTTTTTTTCTAAGAAAATGTTTCTAGTAGTGCTTTTAACACCTATTATCTAATATGTAATTTACGAAGATTACTTAACAATGCGATTGTTGCACAATTTTAAATCATGAATGTCATGTCCAAAAGTTTTCCTTTTTAACACATATATGGCACAAAGGCATTCACGATATACTTATGTTGACCCTAAAAACTACTAAGCCTACGTGGCGCTCAAACCGAATAACTAATGAGTTAACTACGTCATTCGGTTATGTGCAGGGCATGCCAACTCGTCGGCCGAGCTCGGCCGGAGTAAAATATGTTGACACGCTGCTGACTTCTTGATCTTGCGACTGCGATCAAGGAAGGAACCTGTCTCGGTCTTCAGGTTCTAAAGCCTAAAAATAAGGTTGTTAGTTCTGTGAAGTTCACAGATCGTCGACGCCAGGTTCGATCACGATGATTATATTCGTGAGAGTATAAGCAAGTTGAACTGGCACTAGACTATACATACATAAATACTTGAAATAGATGTATGTCTTGATGGTAAATGTGGTTCGGCTTCTAAAACTGATTTGTGAATATCCAATCATAAAACAACTCGGCGTCAAATATGTCGAGCCTAGTTACCTGTAATACCTCACTTCGCCGAAAAGGCTGATGAGATGACTTCTACCAACAAGGACTCAAAAATCCTTGTCGACCAAGACTTGGATAAATAACCAGTCGGTCTCGAAGCAATGTTGTTTATCCAAACTGAAGGTGCTCCTTGATCGGCTGATTCTACGGCTCCAATGTTGTTTATCCAAACTGAAGATGTCATCGGTTGCCTTCACAATGTTGTTTATCAAAACTGAAGATGTATTGGCGAGAAGAAAAGGGAGAAGTCAGGGACGAAGCTAGAAATTTGTAAGAATGGGGGCATCCTCAAACAACAAGGTAAAATAAAAAAAACTCAAGAATTTACTGCACAAAACTCTTATATATTAATCCATAAAGTTTTTCATACAACATCTTACAATATTCTTTGACGTGTTTTCGTATTTTTAAAGTGGTGCATGACAACATCATTACCAATACCATCAAATATCTCTATAAAAATAATCATGTTATCATTCATCTGTTGATCTTCTATTCGATTTCTCAATTGATTCAGAAATGTTATGGCCGAAAATGCTTTTTCAATGGTGGTAGTAGCAACTGGAAGAGTTAGTGCTAATGTCACAAGTATATAAACTAGCAGATACACCTTGTCTTTTTTCCACTTGACCATTTTTTTATAGTTTAATTAGAACTGACGTTAGAATTGAAATGCAATCTATTTTTCTATTTGTAGTTTAATTAGGGTTTAGGAATTAGAATGCAAAAGTACACACACATACAAAATTGAGTGGGGCCGGATGCTCCCTAGGCCCTATACAGCCCTATCCTTGGAAGAAGGATAAAATCTTAAAGTTGTTGAGAAGTTTTGCACATGACAATTTTTGTGTTGAATTGAAGGGAGTCTTTTAGTCGTTTGCCGCTTCGTATTTATAGAGACTAGCATGCCCAAGTCGTGAAAACCAATCCCAATTGCACTGTGACTCTGAGTCTTTATTTGTTGATGCTGACCACGCACTTATCCCATGCATAATCACAATAATAAATGAAGCTCTGAAAACTTTATCTTATATGCACATAAGTCCACGCCGTATCACATCAATCAAAGCTTGATCCCATCTTTTCCCTCCTGACCTTCCAATACAATATTTTTCAAAGATTCAATCCTAATTGCTTCATCACCATCGTTCAAAATCCACGTGTTCCTTTGTAGCAACTTGATGCAGTCCCACTTTACCTCCGCATCTTGTATGCAATCCCACCTTTTCCTGGATATGATAATGCATGCAATTTCATTAATCCCATTTAATTAAAATACTTGGCATTTTGTCAAGATACTCAGTGGCTATGAATCTTCCATATCTACACATGTTGTTTGAACTCCTCCGTTCTTGAATTATTAGAAGATAATTTCCCAATACACTTAAAACTCCAATACGAGAATCCCGAACAGACCTGTGGAGGAAGAAAAGTCCTTGATTTCAATCTGCACTCTTCAAGCTCATTTTAATATTTTCACAAGATAATTACTACAATAATCCAATAGTAATATCTAGAAAAATATTAGAAACAAGCCAATAATGCTACAAAGTTAATCACATTCCAACGTCTAGAATTCTTCATAATCATCCGACAATCTCGATTGCTTGGGTTGAAAATGTAAAATCAGGTCCAAACAACTTATCAACATATAATTAGAAGGACAATTTATAATCCTAATTTTACCTAAATTATTTTTCACAGAAAATAATTGTTGTCTATGTTGTTGACATTTTTTCTCCAATATTTGTCATCACCATAATTCATCATGTTAACAAAATTAGAAGAGCCTGTAACCATCTGTCATGGAAACCATCAAAAACTCATTTCTCAAATCCAAATATAAAGTTGTTGAAGTCTCTCCACTTATTCATCTAAATCCTGTTATTGAAGTCTCTTCACATATGCATCTAAATCCGGTTGTTCCTCCCGTCTATTTAAAAGCTTATAACTCTTGAACATGCATCCGCCATCTACGACAACCTCTTTTCACTCTTTATAGTGATTCCGCCATCTCCAATAACCTTTTTAACTCTAGAAGTATCAATGGTTCGATCCAGGTAGAACTTTTTGAATCACAAATTTCGACATTCACGTTGAAACTGACAATTCAAGTCTTGTGACGAGTACACATGATTTTGGACATCACCGAATTGATGACTTTGAGGGAGGGGAGAAGGAGTCAGGAGTGTGGTTAACCTACAAACCCACTTGTAGCTGAAATTTTGTAGATAGTAGTGCACAATTATGAGTATTATTTAGTTTTCACCAATATCTTAAACTATTTCATAAATAATTTTAATATTTTTGGCTCGTGTCCCCTCGAAATTCTTATTAACCTACGTTAAGCAAAAAGAGGGACAAGCCGCACAACAAACGGGGAGAATAAGCTGCCATGGTATCAAGCTGCCATGCCATGGGTGATCTCAATAACAACCCATGGCAGTTGATTTCAAGCCACATAATGTATAAGAGTTTCAAAATGCTAGGTCGGCTAAGAATAGAATCAGACGTAATTAGCATGATATATATTGTCACCTCCTTTTGGTGACCCCTATACTCACTCTAATCATGTACCGTCACGCTAATCATATTTCAAAGTAGTAAGTACATTCGCAAGAATGAAACTCACATAATTGCTAAATTGTAACACAATATGAGGCTTGTGTGGACTTCCTTTGCCAACACCGCTAACACTTCAAATACCATCATTAATTTTGATTAATTGGTTCTGATTATCGATGTGATTACTGCACTTTTACTTGACCAAGTAATTAATCTAAAGGCATGCATATTATGGGTGTAACAATCAAAATTCTATTATTATTTTTTTCTGATTTTAGAGAATACATAATTCCTTTTACAAAATGAAGTACGTCGATGCATCTCAAAACACGGCTTATTTCAATGGTTTAGATTTATTATTAGAATGCACAATTCATCGATCACAACAGCTGTAAATTAAAAACGAAATATTGTAAGTCTCAATATTACTTCACAAGGCCCTTGCTGGCATGCCGCCTTAGTTGGCATCCATCACATTCCCTTCCGCCACGCCATCGCCATCCACATCAACTTCCACATCACTCTCACTAGTAGTCATCATCAATGGCCACCACCTCCCACTTCCTCATCAGGAGCTACCACCGTCTCCTTAATCTTCTGCCCCGTCTCCTTCACCGCCCCCCAAGCCCCTTCCACTGTGTCCTTTGCCGTCTCCGCCGCCTTACTTCTCCCCTCCTCCACCTTCTCCGCCAAAGTTCCCACCGCATCCTCTGTTTTCTTCTCCATCCCCCACATATTCTCTTTGGCCTTCTCCTTCGCGCTCTCCGCTGTCTCGGCTGCCCTCTGAGTCCCCTCCCCCACTTTTTCTGTCACAGTGTCCGCCATCTCATTGGTCTTCTCCTTTGTCTCGTAACCGTACTCTTTAGCTTTCTCCTTGGTGCTCTCCACCGTCTCCGCTGCTCTATTCGTTCCCTCTTTCGCCTTCTCCTCCATAGTCCCAGCTGCGCTCTTCGTATTCTCCTCCATAGTCTCAGCTGCGCTCTTCGTCTTATCCTTTGCTTCCTGCGCGTAATCCTTGGTCGTCTCTTTCATTTCCTCGGCTTTTCGCTTCGTGTTTTCTAGGCCTTCTCCCATGGTTTCTTTCGCTTTGTCATATCCCTTGTTCTCCCCGGCCGCATTTCGTCCCTGAAATCAATTGACACAAATATGTTAAACTACAATTTTTGACAATACGAGCATACTGCCCTAACTAACTAGCCAAACCCGTATCTGTAAATGTTACCTCGGATTTGGAGGCGGAGATGAAGCAGACGCGGGAGACTTTCTGAGATGAATATCTGAGAGAGGGTGGCTGAGAGAAACGAGGAAAAGATCTGGAGAGGTTGAACATAGCATTATCTGCTACGGAAAACACTGCCATGTTTGCCTGCTCTGTTTTCTCCTTTCTTTCGGTTGGTTTGTGTTATCCTATCACCGTTTCTAGGGTTTGCATGTTATAACGAGATTAGGAAGAGTAAGGTGGCAGCTTTGGCGCTTGACACGTGTGACTGTCAGTTGCTGGGGAGCTCCTGTAGCCTACAAAGATCATCACTTTTGTCTCAAAAGTCGACTCAATTTTGTCTCAATAGCCGACTCTCAATCCCCAATCTTAATATGGGCTCTAGGGCTAAAAAGCCCATATCGTTTTGATTGATTTGTGGCCCAGAACAAGTATGGAAAATAAGTGGGCCATGTTCAAGAGGGTTTTAAAATTCCATCAATTTACTCTTTGGAGCCCAAACTATTCGCTTTTTTACTGCCCCGACGATTTCAGTACGACTGCCACCGAGTATAGTTTCGGAAATCCACCATCTTCACAGCTCAGGTACTTACATATATGTCAATTAACAAGTTCATATTCAAATCCCTAGAACTGTATTGCATTGGGAATTGAGGGGTCCCGCTAAAGATTTGTTCTTTACGCTTTGGGATTTGATGGGTTTTTTTTTTATTTTATATTTTTCATAGAAAATTATAGCATCATTTGGTTGATTTGGTTTTGGAAGCTGATCATTGTTTGTTGTTAATTGGTGTTTCTCTTCCATGTTTAGCTTCGTATGTGCAAATCTATGAGGCCGTGAAGCTTCAATTTACTAGATTTCTTAAGATAAGTCATTTGACAGATCTGTTATTTGCACTCCAAAAAAGTCATTCCGTACTTTTCCCCATAAAAGTTATTTTTCAAGAATGAATTAGGAATTGAAGAAGCATGCCTTATATCTGACCAATGCCATTTCCTGATTGGTTGATTCCATTTTTTTTATTGCTTGCCGCAGATATCTCAAATTTCTGTGATTTTTGGTGAACCATGGTTACATTATTCAGTTAAGTAGAGCATTGTCATGTAATTTGACAAACAAGTTATCTTGGTGAACCATGGTTACATTATTCAGTTAAGTAGAGCATTGTCATGTAATTTGACAAACAAGTTATCTTACAGGGCAACCAAGTTTAGCATTACACTCACCTAGATTAAAATTTTGTCCGAATCTTGATTAAAATAATCCTTAAGGAGAAGACCAAGTTTAGCATTACACTCATAGCTTTTGTCACTCTTGGATGTCGGCCAGCACTTGTCATCCAGGTGTCATTTGAATATTTGGGTTAGGACGTGTCATAAATCTTCTTGTTGAAGTCTCTTCACTTATGCATCTAAATCTTGTTGTTCCTCCTATCTATTTAAAAGCTTATAACTCTTGAACATGCATCCGTCATCTAAGAGAACCTTTTTAACTCTTAATAAATGGAACTATCAATGTGATTCCGCCGTCTACGAGAACCTCTTTTAACTTTGGGAAGTATCAATGTGGTTTCATCCGGGGTAGAACTTTTTGAATCACAGCTGTCGTGAGTCACATTGAAAATGACAATTCAAGTCTTGTGACGGTTCACATGAGATTTCGGACATCATCAAATTGATAACGTGAGGATGGGAGAAGGAGTGAGGAGTGTGGTTAACCTACAAACCCACTCGTAGCTGATTTTGTAGATAGTAGTGCACAATTGTGAGTATTATTTAGTTTTCGCCCATATCTTAAATTATTTCATAAATAATTTTAATATTTTTGGTTCTTGTCCCCTCGAAATTCTTATTAACCTACGTTAGCAAAAGAGGCACAAGCCGCACAACGATCGGGGAAGAATAAGCTGCCATGGCATGGGTGATCTCAAGCAGTTGATTTCAAGCCACGTAATGTATAAGAGCTTCAAAATGCAAGGTCGGCTAAGAATCGAATCAGGCGTAATTAGCATGATATATGTCACCTCCTTTTGGTGACCCCTACACTCACACTAATCATGTACCGTCACACTAATCATATGTCAAAGTAGTAAGTACATCGCAAGAGTGAAACTCGCGTAATTGCTAAATTGTAACACAATATGAAGCTTATGTGGACTTCCTTTACAAACACCGTTAACACTTCAAATACCATCATTAATTTTGATTAATTGGTTCTGATTATCGATGTGTGATTACTGCAATTTTACTTGACCAAGTAATTAATCTAAATAATCTAAAGGCATGCATCAACCTGAACGGAGATGAAGTATGTCGATGCATCTCAAAACACAGGTTATTTCAACGGTTTAGATTTATTATTAGAATGCACATTTTGCAAAAAGCAAATAAACTAATTCATCGATCAAAAAAGCTGCAAATTAAAAGAAAAATTGTAAGTCTCAATATTACTTCTCAAGGCCCTTGCCGGCACGCCGCCTTTAGTTCCACCACATCCGCTTCCATCACCTTCCCTTCCGCCACTCCATCGCCATCCACGTCAACATCCACATCACTCTCACTAGTAGAGTCATCATCAATGGCCACCGCTCCTACTTCCTCATCAGGAGCTACCACCGTCTCCTTAATCTTCTGCCCTGTCTCCTTCACCGCCCCCCACGCCCCTTTCACTGTGCCCTTTGCCGTCTCCGCCGCCTTACTAGTCCCCTCCTTCACCTTCTCCGCCACAGTTCCCACCGCATCCTCTGTTTTCTCCTTCATCCCCCACATATTCTCTTTGGCCTTCTCCTTCGCGCTCTCCGCTGTCTCGGCTGCCCTCTGAGTCCCCTCCTTCGCTTTTTCTGTCAGTGTGTCCGCCACCTCCTCGGTCTTCTCCTTTGTCTCGTAACCGTACTCTTTAGCTTTCTCCTTGGTGCTCTCAGCCGTCTCCGCTGCTCTGTTCGTTCCCTCTTTCGCCTTCTCCGCCATAGTCTCGGCTGCTCTCTTTGCCTTCTCCTTTGCTTCCTCCGCGTAATCCTTGGTCGTCTCTTTCGTCTCCTCTGCTTTTCGCTTCGTCTTTTCTAGCCCTTCTCCCATGGTTTCTTTCGCTCTGCTGTTCACGTTCGCCGACCCGTACTCTCGTTCCTTATTCATCCAGTTCTTGTTGTTGTTGTCATATCCCTTGTTCTCTCCGGCCGCATTTCGTCCCTGAAATCAATTGACACAAATATGTTTACTACATTTTTTGACCATACGAGCATACTGCCCTAACTAACTAGCCTAACCCGTATCTGTAAATGTTACCATGGAGAATTTGGAGGCGGTGGTGAAGCAAACGCGGGATACCTTCTGAGATGAATATCTGAGGGAGAGTGACTGAGAGGATCGAGGAAAAGATCTGGAGAGGTTGAACATAACATTTTTTGCGACGTGAAATACTGCCATGTTTGCTTGCTCTGCTTTTCTCCTTTCTTTCTGTTGGTTTGTGTTATCCTATCACCGCTTCTAGGGTTTGCATGTTATAACGAGATTAGGAAGAGTAAGGTGGCAGCTTTGGCGCTTGACACGTGTGACTGTCAATTGCTGGGGATCTCAGGTGGTTGCACCTGTAGCCTATCTTTTTCAAGCGGTCACCATGTCAGGTACCCTCCAAATATCATCACTTTCGTCTCAATGGTCGTTCTCAAGCCTCAATTTTACTGTGGGCTCTAGGGCTCAAAGCCCATATCATTTTGATTGATGTGGCCCATAAAAGTATGGAAAAGCATGGGCCCATGTTCAAGAGGGATTTAAAAGCCCATCAATCTACTTTTTCGAGCCCAAACTATTTGGGTTTTCACTGCTCGGACGATTTCAGTCCGGCGAAATAATGCCAATTCGGGCACACTCTTCCCCAGCTCCGGTACGACTGCCACCGAGGCTAGTTTCGGAAGTCCACCGTCTTCAGGTACTGACAAAAGCTCCTCTCTTTGCTTGTTTTTTACTACATATATTTCAATTAACAAGTTCATATTCAAATCCCTAGAACTGGATTGAATTGGGAATTGAGGGGTCCCGCTAAAGATTTGTTCTTTACGCTTTAGGAGTTGATGGGCATTTTTTTTTTCATAGAAAAGTATAGCTTCATTTGGTTGGTTTGGTACGCTTTAGGAGTTGATGGGTGTTTTTTTGTCCATAGAAAAGTATAGCTTCATTTGGTTAGATTTGGTTTTGGAAGCTGATCATTGTTTGTTGTTAATTGGTGTTTCTCTTCCATGTTTAGCTTTGTATGTGCAAATCTATGAGGCTGTGAAGCTTCAGTTGATTAGATTTCTTAAGATAAGTCATTGGTGGGAGCTGTTAATTGCACTCCAAAAATGTCATTCTGCACTTTTCTCCGGAAAAGTTATTGTTCAAGAATGAATTAGGAATCTAAGAAGCATGCCTTAGACCTGACCAATGTCATTTCCTTATTGGTCGATTCCGTATTTTTCGTTGCTTGCAGCAGATGATCTCAAATTTCTGTGATTTTTGGTGAACCATGGTTACATTATTCAGTTTAAGTAGAGAGCATTGTCGTGTAAATTTGACAAACAAGTATCTTATGAGGCAAAGGAGAAGACCAAGTTTAGCATTACACTCACCTAGATTAGAATTCTGTCCGAATCTTGATTAAAATAATCCTTAAGAAAGAACAGATGTCTTGTTCTACTTTCAAGTAAAAATATATCGTTGTGTCGCTTTCCTTCTGTGTTGTTCTTTATTTCTGAAAGGAATTAGACCTCACTTCATATTCATACCTTATAAGAACTAATCTCTAACAGATAGTCGAGAACCTAATGAAATCCTTCCTGTTAATTCACTTACTTGAATACATAAATGTATTTACTGCAGTTCCATCTATCATAGAGGTCTATTCGCAGGAGATTGATAAAATGCTAATTTATGTTCTTACATTTATCCTAATAATTTACTCATGTTAGCTCTATTCAGTATTTAGCATATATAACATATATGCAGATCTTTTCTACTCTCTTCACAAAGATATGAATTACTAGAACCCAAATTAAAGTCTTTCCTTTGTTTGGCTAACCCTTGTTAACTTTGATAAGTTTCGCAAAACATAAATTATGTAGTGTTAGGATGCTAGGTTTTTTGTAGGTCCTGGATGTTTTTGACGTCTTACTCTGATTTTCGGGAAATCCTATTCTATAATCCATATAACTTCATTATTGAATATTGATTATACATGTCTCCACTCATGTTTGAAATCGTCCCATATTCAGCCTGCTAATCTTTTTAATTTTGGAAACTTTTCTTGACTAATGCAGCCTAAAACTCTTTAGTTTTGAACACTAGAATGAAATAAATTAAAAGAGGAACATACATAAAGGATAAAGGGAGCTGATTTTCACACACTCTTTTTAGCCTCTCACACACCCCTCTTTATTACTGGTCGTTGGATTGAATAACTCAAACGGAAACAATGGACAAGATTAAACAGGGGTTGTAGGAGGAGAAAAAAAAAGTGTGTTTATCATTTCCCATGATAAACTGATTTACTTACCAATTTGTCTTTTTTGACCATGAGTTCATTCCCCATTGAAAAGGTTGAGTGTTTTTCTCCATGATCGACATATTTATAACCGCCTGGGCAGGTGTTGGCTTGCATGCAGCTTCTCAATAGCTTTCTCAACTCAATATGAATCTGCTTTGAATAGGTTGAGCGTTTTCTCCATGATCAACATCTATAAAACTGTCTAGGGCAGGTGTTGGTTTGCATGTTCCTTGTCGAACCTTTATGCATCCACGTTCCACAACTTGAGCATTTTTCTGCATGATTGACATATCTATATAACGGTCTGGGGCAGGTGTAATCACCTAAGCATGTTTGGTTTGCATTCATTTTTGTTGAGCCTCTTTATCACCTCTATATAAATCCTAGTTATCCTATGGTCTCATCACAATTCGGTATTCAAGGTTTTTCTTCCCTGTTATTGCTATAAATCTGCCGTACCTTCTTTCTTATACAACCAGTTGAACTTTTCGCTGTCCCGGTGATGAATATGCGAGCAAATCGTTGTCATGGAGCTTCCTAGTTGATGTGATTACCACAGTTATTCTGTGGCTAACTTTGTAAGTACTAGGCAGCAATACTGCACTCATATCACTTTTCATTTTCAGCTCTGTTATTATGATATTATACTTGAATTTCTTTTTTTCAGCAGGTACCATGTGTGAATTTGTATTTACGGTTTAAGTTATCAGGCCTCTGTTAGGTTTTCCAGCTTGCTTATGTGCTGTTTGGATTACCTTCGATGCTTAAATTTTGTATATAAATTTTTATTACCTTTACCTTATGGATCTCCCAGATAAATTTGAATCCATTACCTCATGGATGGAGTCGAAAGATATCTAAACGTATTCTAAGAAGGAAGATCATGAATAGCAAAATTTTAAGTTTAATTTGCTTCTAATTTTGTCCAAAACCAAAGATGGTAGCCTCTTTAGTGGATATGGATATGGCAACCGGTGGGAATAGAAAATAATAATGGAAGGCACTCTATTCAATACTTTTCTGTTGTCGAACAGATTATGCTAATGCAACCCCGAAAGTGCTAAGGAGATTTTATTTTTGATGTAGGATGGACTCAAAAGCAGTTTTGATTCTCACTTTGTGATTGAAGAAATACCAAGCAAGCGAGACATGGCATCAAACCATGAACTTGAAGTGATTCAGTGCACGACGAAAATAAAAGCACAAGTTCCATTGAGTTCATCAGGTTGTGCTACCCCCTTTTACTCACATCCCAACATTATAACAATCGTTTACTCACATTCCTAACATTACAACCTCTAACCCTCTAGCTAGAAAAAAAACTTTATATAAAATTTTAAATATAACAATTTAAGAGGGGAAGTTCTGGGTTTGGTATTTCAGGAGGAGGTCTTAATTTGCAGTCTTTGACTTCAATTTGTTTCGGATGGCGATTCTGGTACTTGTCATACGAGGCATTGTCGGGCTCGGTTGCAGAGAGAGGAAATCATCCCTGGAGATAGCAGTCCCTCTACTTCATTTTATAACATTTATAGGCTAATGCTGACGGGCCAATCCACCTCCACCAGTTGTTCTTGGGATGCTGGATTTAGAGAGATAAAAAGTGTGAGTCTTGAGAGTGAGGGAGGGTGAGTCTTGAGAGTGAGGGAGGCAAAGGAGCGAGAAAATGTGGTTTGACAGAAGGCAATGACTGTATGAGTTTGCCTTGGTTTTCCATGGTGTTCTGTGCAAGAAAAGGATGGAGGAGTATGGCTCCACATATGTCCATACAGTCAGACTCTCGTAGCCCAAGTCTACCACATTTGAACTAAGAGAGGAGCCGAAAATGTCACTCTCCTCTCTGTGTCTCTCTAACTCTTCTCTCTGATTCTGTTCTTTTACACACTGGTCGGATGGCTATTCCGAAACCACCAGCCTCCGGCTACTTGTCATTCGCTCCTCACCTTGTTAAACTTTCCATAACACTTCCAGTATACTCTCTCGTTCACCCCAATTTTCTCTATCTGGCACTCCTCCTCAGCCTTTTCTTTAATTTCTTTCGTCTTGCTTCCTTTCCCTCACGTGCTTTTCCCCACTTCTTTGCACCCCTTGCGTGTTCCTCTTGCTTTGTCCACACATGTGCTCTCTCCACTGGCAGCATCCCAAGTTTACCAAATTGCCCATGGCCTGGAGCTTATACAACCCCACCCTCATGCTCACTCACACACACCAACATAAAACCATCCCCTACCTTCTCTGAAGACCAACCCTCGCTATCAACAAGCACTCTGTGTTCATAGACAATGGAGAACTTCAACCCACCATCTATCCCCTCTACAACCACCATAACCTCTGCTCACAAGACAAATAACTCACAGTCCACTTGTGAACCAGTGAGTTGTTTGCCTTCAACTACTTGTAGTCCTTCGGCCACTCAGTACAGGTATTACCCGGCACAGTATCTAGCACCAAATCCAGGCCTGCAATTCCTGCATGCAAATAATCAATACCCGTACCGTCAGGCCGGTCTCCATATGTATCCATTCCTGGTCAGTGCCCAACCGAATATGGTTCTTTCCAGAGAACAGGCCAGCCGAGACCAATCAGGATGGATATTGGATGCACTTATGTCCAAGTCTGCAAGAAATGAGAGAAAGATGGCGAGACAGAGGAGTCTCAGTTTGAGCAGAAACGCAGCCAACGCTGCAGTTTCCTGTACTTGTTCTCCCCCACTGAGCAGGCATCCTCCATTTCATGGGAATGATGGTGATGATGATACTCGTGGAATCATTTCCACGTCATCATCTGGAAATGGTGCTGATTTGCAGAACACCAAAGAACAGCTCTACTCGTTCTGCACGCCGGATAACAAGGTATGGGTTTTGTTTTTTATCTCCTCAAATCTGACTTTCAAATTAGTTTTTCTTTAAACTACTAATTCTGTGTATTTTTATTAACAGAAATTGAGACCGCTTTTTAAGAAGGAGTTAAAGAATAGTGATGTTGGACCTTTGGGTAGGATTATACTACCAAAGGTGAGGTCTTTGTTTGTTTTAGCACTTTCAGTCCCTTTTACTTCTTTTTATTTTTATTTTTCTGAGAAACGACGATGGAAGAGAAAGAACTAAAAAGGCGAACCAACCAACTTCTTAGTTTGATTTCTTTCACTTTTATTGACAATTGCAAAAAGTTTCTGATTTAGACTGCCTAGTAACAAATCCCTTCCTCATTTATAAAATTTTGCTCCAACATTGCTTCTCTTTATGCGTTTTCTCCTCATTCACAGAAAGAAGCGGAAAATAACCTTCCAATGCTCTCCGACAGAGAAGGCATCCAGCTGACTGTCAGAGATGTACATTCCAACCGGCATTGGGAATTCAAATACAAGTAAGCTTATGGACAGTACTATTAATTTTATAGTTTAACGGCAAACCATTTTTTTTGCAAGAGTTTTCTGCCAATTAATTGAAGCCATTTTTTTTCTGCTTGGTTAATTTTACACAGGTTCTGGTCAAATAACAGAAGCAGAATGTATGTGTTCGAATATACTGGTAAAAACCGACAGAATTGCTCTTAATGTTCATTGACAAACACACGATATATCATGTTTGCTGACTTAGAGTATCCATATTTTCAATGTAACAGGCGCTTTTGTTAGGAAAAAAAAGCTGCAGGCGGGAGATTGCATTTATCTTTATGAGGATGAATGCAAGAACCTCGTGAGTCCTCTTTTCTTCCTTAATTACTACAGAATCTGTTGCAAATTAAACTAGGATTTTGAAAGTTGAATACAAATTAAAGAGTCTGAGCTGCATCCCTGGTGACATTAACTTTTTACGTTATGACAACGATATCCTCTGGAGGATAGTGTGAAGATACATAATAAGGTGCATGTATGGATAGAATAGGATGGCCATTGATGAGCGCCTAGTAGATTATGCGTTGGAAAGCACGGGCGTGGCACGAGTATTTTGCAATTGACCCGAGCGTTTAGAAACAGCTCTAATTAGTTGGCAGGAAGACTGAAACGGGCGTTTCAGGCTTGTATTAGTGTACAATTCAGTTAAGTGGGCCATAATAATCCCCTGAAAATAATAATATTTCCTAATGAGAAAATCTAGAGTTTACGGAAAGACCATTACTCGGAGTCATACCATACATAGACTTTGAACTGTCATTGTTTGCTGTATATTAAATCCTGCATTGTTGGATATAAATGTCAGTTTATGCATTAGACTATTTTGCTTCTCTTAATATGATGTTATCTTAACTAAGCTGCTTTTTTCGTCCATGCGAGGAAACAGTACATCTCCGTAGAAAAGGTGCAAAGACCAGTACATGTAGCTGAGCCCTCCTCTTCTAAACAGCGTAATACTACAACTAACCCTACAGATCAAACCATCAAGATCGTCCCCAACATCAACACTAGCCTCAAGGCCAACACCACCGACAACAACAAAACTAACACCAACACCAACACCAACGCCAAAACTCCCAACACCGATGCCAAAACCCTTGGAAGTAACCCCTATGTGGCCTCAAACTTATCTTCACCTTCACCCTATACCTATGTAGCTGGCAACAAAGAAGACGAATTATCTCTAGAACAACTTGTGGAACAACTTAAGCAAGATCAAGAAACTAACATCTTTGCGGATGCTTTGTCTATGGTCTCTAGAGACTATAGGGAACATGAGGAAGCTACTGCTTTGTCCAACATCGCTGCTAGCCATATTGAAACATCTACCCAGCCACCATCCACATTGGCTGTAGGAATCGATCCTTCATCGTCATCATCATCATCACAGACTAGAGCAACAATGAGGATGGTAGATGACGATCACTTTGATCTCGATGACTGCTACAAAGGCCTTGGGATGCTCCCAGAAGTCAACCGCTACAAATACATATGACTATCGTCTTTTTTATCACAACGGGACGAGGCCACAGCGGACAATGACATGCCTTAGCCGGGGATCAGCAAGGACCGTATGCATAAAAATGTGACTGCGTGGTTGAGTACTTTTTTCTGGCATATATAGGAAAAGCAAATTATTTATGTCATGTTAATTTTTACATTCTGATGTCTATATTCTCAAATGGAATAATATTAAAGTATTTTTGTACTTTTAATTTTTCGCTTCAATTGGCATCTTCTTACATGTCTTCCTTGCTTCCCAAGACTTGAAATGGACTGGGCCGGATGGTGAAGTGGACTGGGGCCGGAGAGTTGAGCTGAGCTAAAGTTAGGATGGGTTCCACCTGGCACCTTGTTCCAAAACGAAGGAAGACGTTCACCAAAAACAAAAAAAAAACTCAGACAAAAGATGGGAAAGTACATTGCAACAAAACTAAAAGCTAGTTGGCTCAACATTTTGATTGAGAGTTACATTTATAAGGGCACGATACACGATGAATGGTTAAGATCTAAGAATTTTTAGGATCTTCATAATTTTTATCCGGATTGAATCCAATTCCATCAAAATATATAGAGGGAGTAGGTGTTTTGTGTGTGCGATCGGTTGGTAAAGGGGTTATGTTTGTCATGTTTGTGTCATACTTTATCTTAATGAATTGTGTCGTGTTAATTTTGTTATCTTAACAAATTCTTAGCAGACGACTTGATAATGATCAGACTCTTTAACGAGTTGTATCGTTTCATGTCGGGTTAATGAGTCATGCAAAAAATTGACATGTCTAATGTCTAAACCTTGCAAACGGGTCGAGTTCGTGTCGTTTATGTGTCATACACGTTATCATAATACGTGACCCGATAATGAATCGATTCGTTAATGCGTTTCTAACGAGTGACCCGATAATGACCCACTTGTTAATAGGTTGATCTGAAATCTGTTATTTTCGTGTCGGATTAACAGCAGGGCGTTTTGTGTGTGGGGTCGGTTTGTAAGCCGTCCAATCCTCGATTGGCAATTGCATATTACACATCATCATCGTCTTGACGATGAGGCGATGACTCATCCATCCTTCAAGCTTCTGCCTTTTTGGGGATAAGTCTGTCTGATCCAAAACCCCCACACTGAACTCCAACCCCTCACTGCTCCTCCTGCCATGGCCATGTCCACAACCTCCTCCTCTCTCTCCTCTCTCTCTTCCCTCTCTCTCCACCCCTCTCCCCGCCTCTCCATCCTCCCATTCACCGCCGCAGCCACCCCGGCAACCAAACCCAGAAAACCCATTTCCCTCCTCCTGTCCTCTTCCCGACCCACCACCGTTATCTTCAATGCCGCAGCGGCCGACGTCGAGACCTCCTTCTTCGACAACGAGGACCCCGAATTCGACGGCGTGTTCGAGCCCCCGGAGGCCCCCGAAGACTTCGTCCCCCCGCCTTCCTTCGATGAGGATTCGACCGAGACTGAGGACGAAATTGCCGCCGCGTACGAGGAGCTGTACGGCCCTGCGTACAGCGGCGTGACCATGCTGGGGAATGACATTTACGTGATGGACTCGAAGGTGAAAAAGCTTGGGGCTTTTGGTAAGTTGAAGAAGGAGAAGGTTAGAGATGGGTTCGAGGAGAGGGTGGTTCAGGTGAGGAGGGTGACGAAGGTGGTGAAAGGAGGGAAGCAGCTGCATTTTCGGGCGATTGTGGTGGTCGGCGACAAGCAGGGCAATGTGGGTGTCGGCGTTGGGAAGGCCAAGGAGGTTATTGGGGCAGTGCAGAAGTCTGCGGTGAATGCGAGAAGGAACATTATCAGTGTGCCCATGACCAAGTACCTGACTTTTCCTCACAGGTATTGCCATTTCGGTTTCTGGGTTCTTGCGATTTATTTTTGTTTGAATTGTGCTTGAATTGTTTGTGTTTGATCCTTTGATGGTGTGGGAAATACTGCATTGTAAGGTTTTTTTTTTTTTTTTCTTTTTTTTTTCTTTTTTTAGAATGTGGAATTGAATGTCATTGCATTTCGGGCGATATCTGGCTATCTGCGTAGTTGTGGTCATTTCTGCATTTTAGTTGGGTTTACTTCAATGACAGTGTGTCAGAATTGTGTAAAAATGATACCTTTGGTCATTTGATGGTGTGGAAGGTTCTGCATATAGGAATCTCGTGGAATTTGAATCGAATGTAATTGGAATTCTGGGGTGCGCCCTAGCTTTTTAGTGACTGCCTATCAAAGTTTGAAATATTTGAGACAGGATGGTGCTTGGTTAAACTTGGAGGCTTAGGTCTGAGGCAATATGGGGAGTTGAAATTGGCTGTATATGTGGTTTGATCACATTGCATGCTAGCTATACTTGTAATATGTGTTCTCCGAGTCTTATGGTTGGTATTTGGTGAGTCACTTAAGTGTCATTTATACTTGAAGTAGTCTGTTCAGCCTAGATTGTTTCATGGAACGGTGTCTTCGAATATTAACAACCCCAATTTGGGATGGATGAAGTCCATATTTATCAATAACCAGTGAATCAGTAGGTTGTTGCAGTTGTATGGGAAAGACCATACAGGTACAAAGTCATGTGGTTGAAAGCATTGACGTGTAGCCTAGGAAGTGATTTGATAAATGACATCAGAAGGTGTAAACCATGTAATGAAATTTTGTGGATTCTCATTCAACTTGACAGATTGGTCTTCTGGTGCAAACGATACATGAATTTAAATGGGATCATAAGAATTGCAAAGTTTGGTTAAATATGAAATTGAACTATTCAACATTTGATTAAGTGTAACCTTTAATTACTAAGGGAAGTGGAAATTCATTTTCAGGAATATCGAAGTAGGTTTGGTTGGGAGGTTAATGTAGAATACTAGCAATATTTTCATTACACTTGGCTGATTCCCATTTGAATGTTCGTTACTTTCGTTGTTCAATTCAAACCGAAGCTGATCTATTTTTGGAACACATTAGGTAGCGAAAGGTTCTTGGGAGCAGCCTCTCCATAAATGGGGGTAAGGCTAGCCGACATTCACCTCTCCCAGACCCTGCGTAAAGCGGGAGCCTTGTGCACTGGGTACGAAAAAAAAAAAAAATTAGGTAGCGAAAGGTTGTCTTCATTCTTTTCTTTGATAAGGACTGTTTATATCCTTATCATGGTCCTAAAAGTTGCATGCAATTATTCGTGATGAGACAAAAGCAAATGCCTTCCTATTCTTCTAAGTTTTGCATCTCCTATTTTGTTTACTCTAAAAAATCGCAGATCTGAGGGAGATTATGGAGCAGCAAAGGTGATGCTGAGGCCCGCTTCTCCTGGTACTGGAGTTATCGCCGGAGGGTCCGTGAGAATAGTTCTCGAAATGGCAGGTGTCGAGAATGCTCTTGGGAAGCAACTTGGAAGTAAGAATGCTCTCAACAATGCTAGAGCCACTGTCGTTGCAGTACAGAAAATGAGGCAGTTCCGGGATGTCGCTCGTGAGCGTGGTATCCCGATGGAAGAGCTTTGGAAGTGATAGAACAGAACTAAGCAAAAGCAGCTGTTCTGCATTGTAGATTAATTCTTGTAGTGCAGGCTTCTTGTTGTAAACGTATAAGAGCCTTTTTTTCAATTTTGTCTTCCCTTGAAGCTTTTGATGTTTTAAAACTTGGCGTAGCCTTATCATGTTTCCAGAGAATCTACAATACCACGTTGCATTCAATGCGAAATGAACGGGTGAGATTTAAAGAAATGAATTTACCCGATAGATAATTATACCTTCATCAAAATGGATCTAGAGAAAAATTCATACTCCAAAGCTTGTCAATTGCTTGGCCTGCACGCAGTTGCCTTCTCAATAGCTCCATAGACCATCAATTTAATATCTTTTCCCAAATTTCTCCAAAAATCTCATGCATGCTACATCAATATATATATCTCTACATTTTTGCAATGTAACAAAAATAAAATACTCCTTAGAAAGAGAAATACTAAGGAGATTCTCAAAAGTGGGACTCTCCATAGACTTTTTGCCACCTCACAGTTTAACGTCAATTCTCGTGCCAAAAACATGAGCTGGCAAGTCCATGGAGAGTCCCTTTTGAGAGTATCCTTAGCATTTCTCCCTTGGAAATTATGAACTTGTTTAAACTCAAAAACTACATAATATAATATAAGCAACCATGGCGGATTTCCATTTAACACTCGCCATGTTGGCCCAAAACATGTACATCGAATTTGTAACTTTGAGAGTGCAAATGTGCCTGTATCGGAGACCAGAGGGCACAAATTAGTACCTTCTCCCTCCTGTGCAAAAATTCAACCACTCCGGTGTATGGCATGCACCAGACAACGAAGGGTTGAAGATCCAGTCTCAGACAAATTTGTTCAAAAAGTTCACAAAATCCAACGCTTTAAAACTCCTGTGTATACTATTTGGCTTTTTTCTTCATTTCCCAATTTACATATTCTCCATAGTTTCTCATGCAGCTGCACTTTCACAGTGAAAGGTCTTATTTCCATAGCTTCACACACTGATCATGGCTCACTGAGGCAACCATTTCAGTCTTTGCTGATGCTGACAGCGTAGAAACTATCCCCTGGTGCGCCGGAACTGTCAGTGTCTTGCTGCTTTCGCTTGGACTCCACAACTCAAGGGACTGCCAAGAACAAATGGATAGTTTAGACGAACAAATTTACGATCTTATGGACATAAACTGAGAAACTAATCACCCTATGACTCCTGAACAACAATATTTTCAAACACTAAACATATTCTACATAGTAACCTTGTTTCCAGTTTCTTGAATGTACCAAATGCAAATACAAAAAGTCGGCATCTAGTATTAAGGAACCCGAGAAAACTTGTAAGTGCAGAACCCCATTTTCGTAAAAAGGGAGGTTATAATCACAAACAGCCTCACCAAATTACTGGCCACAATGACAGTTTAAATATTAATAGATACCTGGTAACCACCGATAATCAAGAGCAGTGAATATCCGGGATGAAATGTGCATGATTGGAATTTGTTGCCATTTGATTTCAGTTCATATACGCATTTCCCGTTTGACGCAGGAGACCAAACTCTTGCACTATCTTCACTAACAGAGGCAAGATACTTCCCAGTGGGATCCCAGCAAAGTGAAAGAACATCTTTGGTGTGTCCGGATCCCTGAAAAAGTTTTTCTTTCTGTCAACTAAAATGAGCAAGAACTTGGGACCTAGATGCATTAATAAGAGCTATTGTGTGGTCTCAAGGCTTACCGTC